AAAATATCTTTTCTTTCATTTGGAATCATAATCAGATTACGCTCTTGGGTACAGACATGATGTTTTATTCAAAGCATTATTAAATGAAGAACTTTGTATACGGAGACTTCTTTCTTTCTGTTCTAGCTCTTTGCTTGCAAGAAGCTCTAGTGATATAAGGACTATTGTACTCCAGTGCCACATCCCTTCAGGGATAAGATTTTTACGATTGCAACCTGACACCGTTTCTGTGTCCTATGAGCGACAGAGCAGTAACTCAGTTCAAAGGCAGGAGGCATCAAATCACAGTGCAGCAGTAAATTAACCTGTCTCGCCTTGGCCAATGAGGAGTCTGCCTTAAATCTCGGCTGTCACAGTGGCGGCCAATGGAGAGACGATGGCTGTAAATCTGTCTGGGCTGCTCTGTTAACGGTGTCTTGGTGTGGTTGGGGGAATCCATCCAGAGGGAGGGGGGGAGACAGAATTAGGAAAGTGAATGGGGGAAGAGGTAAGGTGGAGGTATGCAGGGAAATCTGTCTTAGAAGACTAAAACAAAGCAAAAAAAGAGCAAATACTGCAGCAAAAATAGCAAAAAAAAAAGTGTTTTTTTTTATGCTTCCAGATGCAATTGAAGATAAGGAATTGCCCCCATAAAGATTTGCAACCACCATGTACTCTATGTGTCTGATGTTGACTGTTTACAATAAAAAAAAAACTGACTGATGGTCTTTTTGTGCTCTTTTTGCATTATATCTACACCAAAAAAAAAAATGTACTGACTGTTTAATAACAGCTGTAACCTCTGACTGTTGGGACAAAGCTCCAATCGGTAGCAGCGGGCCCTATGGATTACAGCCTGCCTGTGTGGGTCTGAAGCAGGAGGTAAACCAGAGTCCAGTTAAAGCCCATCCAACCAGATGTTCCCCAGTTGTGCAAGTTTAGAACACTGTGGAATTCCCCCTGCAGCAAAGCAAACCTAAACAAAGATTAACACTGGAGGGTTTTTTTTTTTTTTTTTAGACGAAGAATAAGCTCAGTATATGCTTATAGTGCATTTAAGTAAAGCCAGAAAAGTGAACCCCCCTCTATGATTTTATATTCCAATGCTTTCTGAAAAGAGTTATAAGCTAGAGGACGTATAAAAAGCCCACCAGATCGAAAATACATCTGATGGAATAGTTCTTCAACCAACAACTCCCTTGGCGATGTGATTTCATTATCCAATCAGAGTTGAGCATTTTCATGAGCTAAATCTTACAGGTACCACTAAGGAATAAATGGTTATGTGAATTTGAATTTGGGAGCTGTTCTTCTTAAAAAAAAAAAATGTTTAAATCCCACATTTTTTTTGCACTCAACTTATTATGACATCCAATAAACCACACCCATGTGGAGACATTTTTATTTTACAACGACACAAAAAAATTAAACATTATCATCAGAATTTACAGTCATCTTATGTCATTACTATGAAAACTTTTTTTCTCCTTTTTCTAGAAACATAAATAGCGAGTTGAGTTATGGCAAAGGCAGGCAGGAGTGCAATGGTGGAGGTGTTGTTTTTGGCTGGCTTTCCTTGGAGTGGCCATGATTCTTTTTTCTATGGGAATCCATAAACAGAGCCAGAGAGGGCAACTGGGGCCATAAACCATGTCAGGCTGCCACAATGCTGCTGTGAAGGCAATGGGGGAGCAGGCCAGGGCACATATCTCCTCTACTCTGCATGCACACATTTACAACCGCCTGCACTTTGAGCAGCTTTTAATGACTAAATGTTTTTGCAACAGCATTATGGTTATTGCTTTTTGCTGTATTGTCATTGGTGTATCTTGTGCATATGTATTATTATGCCTCCAGGTAACTAGATTAACTATTTACTTTTTTTTAAAAAGCTTTGTCATATTCTCCGACAGAAACGAAGGTGTTCTCATTTTTAAAAAAAATGCTTATGTTTCTTCTTTATATTTTCGTAGCTGAGCTTTTCAACGCAACTCATTGATGGGTATTGATAACAGAACAGTTTCCAATCTTACCTGTAGGCACTTATTTGAGACTAAATTAAATCTTTCCAAAATTATTGGTTGAAGTAGAATGCTTTATTTTCAAACAAGAAAATATAATTTACTTTCAATTTTAGAGTTTTTTCGTGTATTGATGATTTTATCTGTCATCTTTGTTCATTTGGGTGTTGCTGTACAGCTCTTTCAAGAATGTGGTTGCTGTAACTGTGACATTAATTTATTGCGGCTTGATCTCTGCTATTTGACACAGCTAATCATTGTATGGTGACTGAATATCGAAAAAAAGGGGAGAGATTTATCTGTTACCTTGCTAAAGTGGTTTAGATTATGCAGGATGTGACATTTTTCTTTATAGCTCTAAATTAGTGTGAAAAAGACCACAAATGGTGTACCCGTTTTATTTCAGATGTACTGTAGAGTAACATATACATCTAAAACATCTCTTATCAAATTCATATTGATGAAAGGAAATTATGTGTCAGTACATAACCACAGTCCCTTATTGTCACTGAGCTGAAGTGTCCATACTATCACGGTCATGTTTTAATCCAAAAATGTTGGATTAAAACAAAATTTTGCCTATTACAACTCTACAAGATTCAGTTATTAATGAAACCACAAAAGCAATGAAATAAGCTTAGACGTTTTGAAGAGCTGGAGTCAAAGTTTAAACATCACCATTTAAAGAATTTCTTGAAAAGTTTCTTGTCAAAATTAGAGATAGAAAAAGCAGTAAGTGCTGCTAAATGAATACTGCTACCAGAGTCTGACCAGGACAGGAAAATAGATCATTTTACACCCAACCTTAAACCACTACTCTGATGCTTTGCTTGAAGAATAGATCTGAAAATTGCACTTGAACCCTCGCAAGGTACTGAATGACAGTAAATACTGTGTTTGAGCGTTGCTTTACAGGCATGAACCATCTCAACTCTGCAGTTCCACAATGTTCCCATAATCAGACCTTCACACAGAGCTTCTTCTCAGCTCTCTAACAAACTCAAAACGTATGATGTGGAGAGACTGAAATTAGGACTGATAACCTGTTTGCTTCAGGCAGTTCATTCAAAATTTTCTGCATGTTTGTTTGCTATTTAAAGTTAAGTGTTTCTTTCCATTTATATGCCTACATTTTTGCTATTATTACTTTGTTTTTTTTCAACTCCGGAATAACTACCTAATGATAAATAATACATTTATTTAATGGTTTACTTTTTTTTTATTAGTGGAAGAATACACTGTGTGCAATAAAACCACAATTTATTGTAAGGCTTTGAACACATCTTTACTGTGGGTGCTATTAATTGTGCACGGTGGTCTAAGTACTACTCCATGCATGCATAGTTGGCCTGTATTGTGTCCGTTTACCTGGACATGCTATTGAATGTGCGCTGGGGCCCATTGACTATGACATAAAGACTCTCCAGGCTTGCAGATGAGGAGAATTTATTGACTAATTTTCACAGCCCTGCCCCCCCACCAATACAAGAGAAAGGACCAACTCCTTCACTGTATGCATCGATCAATTACAAGACTCTAACGCATACGTCTCTGACAATTTTACTGCATGTTATGTACAGTATGTCAGGCCATGGCGCTTCTAACTGCTGTACTCATTCTTGTATAATTAAAATAAATTACCTGGCTGCTTTTTATGATGGTGCAACTGTAATTACTGGATGACGGCAAGTCACTGAGCTGTCGATTGTGCCGCAGTCTCATCTCAATGAAAAGTGGGAATTTGGACAAGAATCCCGAGCTGGATCCTGTTTTAACACTATGCCTTCATTTCTGTGCTTAGGCTGGGATTTCTATCTAATTACATAAACTGCTTTCTACATGAGCTGGCTTTGTCCTTTTAACCTTCAAACCCCCAACTACGGCCACATCTTGAGCTGAAGCCTAAAAACTTAAACAGAAGCTGTACTCATACCAGCAGGGTGGTAACAACAAATGTGTAATAATGGGGTAAAATTAAATTAATTATTGTCTTGACTTTTGTCAATTTAACACTAAGCTGTAAGCATCATCTCAGCCCTTGATTCAAGCCATGTGCTGGCAGAAAGAGGAACAAACTGAAGGACTGACAAAATGGAGCCAAGCCAAATGTTTTATGGGTCAGGCTAACGTTTTGCTAATAAATGCTGTGAAACAGATGGTTGTGAAAACTCCTTTAACTTGTAAGAACACAGTATATGAACCCTTAATCTTATACTTCCAAACATGACAAACTGATTTGTATTTGTCATCTTTTAATTTAAAATCTTATTCTTTAAGAATATAAAGTAATCTTTGTAGATTTGATGAGAAGACATGAGAATGCACATGACCTGTAGGGGTTAAACCTATGCTTCCTTCTCAAGCAAAGATCTGTTAAAAACACAAATTAAACCTAAAAGAGAAAACCTAGAATGGAAGTGTTTTTTATAATCTACTATATATATTTGGACTGTTTGATTTGATGGTCATTTTTTCATGCATCCCTCTCTGGCCACCATTTATAAATGTTTTTAAAATAATAAAGGTAGCAAGTGTGTTACAGTATGGGGATTATGGCTCCATAGCATCAAAGATGCATGTACTAGCACTTAGTAGAAAGATACTCATAAAGTATCTCGTAAAACTTTTCATTTGACAAAGTTCCACATCAGCTTTTAATTATAGCAGCAAAACTGCACTTCCTCTCCTACAAAAATTTTAGTCAACTTTGTAATTCAACCCTAACACCAGGAGATGGAGCACTTGCACTTCAGTGAAAAGGCATCACTAAGGTTTTTTTAAGAAGTCAAGCTCCACAGAAGATTTAAAAAAAATATATATATAAAAGGGTATGAAATATGAATAAAAAAAATGTTCCATCTAGAACATGAAACATTTGTGTTTTTCCCCAATATTTGAAAATGCTTAGAAAAAAAATCATACAATAGCAGCCTATTAGGGTAATAATTCAAAATATTGTGGAATGATTGGAAGTACTGGTTTCAGAAAGTAACAAGAATGTCAACTTTACCCAACTTTATTCTTTTTACAGTAATCTGTGGATGACAGCATGCTGTTGAAAGGATTATACATCAGGGTAGAGCAATACAAGGAATGGTGTCAGAGGTTGTGATGTTTATCAGTTAATCACATTCCTAGATAACAGCAAAAAAAAGGAGAAAAAAAAACAATCATCTGAACGGGGCATTCATTATTGGAATGTACACCTTTTATCCTCACTTTGATCAATTATAACAAAGCAAAAAAATGTATGAAAAAGGAAACTTTATAAAGTAGAAGTCCCAAAGAGTGACTGGATCAGCCATTTGTACAGCTCACAGCTTTGAACGAAATGTAAGCTGGAGGAGATCAGTGCTATATGGTCTGTGCTGAGCAGCAGCTCCCTGGTAACACTGACAATTATCGGAGAAGTGACCACTTGATCTGTTCCTTTGCAGATTGAAGCACCTGTGAAAAGGAAATATTTTTAATTACACACAAGGTTTAATTAATATTTACAGTAAAAGGCCACAGCAGAAGACTAACCATAATGTAACAAACATACAAATGCTCTAAAACAAATTAAATGAATGTAACCTTGTGTAATGATAAAAAATGAACACTTTCTAAAAATATCCAGCAAAAAATGACTAAGTGATATAAATGAAACGAAATTACTAAGACCTAATTAATCATCTTAATTGATTGAATGAAAGCCAAATCATAACCATAAAACATCAAGACTGGACACAGCTATTAATCATTGCAATAGATGGAATGGCGTTGGCCGATCTCAGACCTCCTAAATGACAACATTAATCAAGAAGAGCTCACACCCTCAGACAGACCGAGCTGCATAGAAACTAAAAGACAGGAACCACCGCCGGCTACCTTCTGCCTTACCACTGAATAATTAGTTATAATGCACACTATTGTGCATATAAGGCAACGAAAAGTGGCAGCCTCAGGGCCGAAACAAAACAGGAGAAAAGAAGTATGACGCAAGACGTAGACCTTTTATTCAAGTTTCTTTCAAAATGAATTTTAACGTCGATAATTTGATGGATTTTAAACTTTGCAGCAGAATGAGAATCAAAATAAGGGTATTTTTCTTACCTGGGTCACTGTCTGCTCTGTCAAAGGTACATCATCACCCTACAAGAAAAAATTATATTATTTTCACACTTGCAACAAAGATACTACTTAAAATATTTCTGTTAGAGGATGTGTTAAGCAGAGCTTACTCTGAGAGCCACACGGTGCACAACTTGCTGCGGGTCACTCTCTAAGATCACCCTGAAAGCAACACAAATATTTCCATAAATAAGCACAAACAAAAAGATATGTGGCTACAGATTTATCCGTCAAAAGTATAAATATATTATATATATATATATTTTTTTTTTAAAGGGACGCAAATAACTAATTCTATTTCAAAAAATAGATTAATCTGTCAATTATTTTTTGATTAATCGATTAATAATCGGATAGCCAGATGTTCCATAAAGAAGACTTTTTACAAAATCAAATCAGGTGAAACTCAAACTTTTCCCCTTGAGGACTTCTGGATAGGGCATCTGGACAGAATTAAAAAGTGTATTTTAATCTTGAATGCAAAATGTTGATATGTTTTTTTTACAATATTGGTATAATTACTGCTCTAAGTGGGTCATTCTGTCAGCTAAAGGCATGTTTTAGAGTCTCTATACTATACTACATTTAATAAGTAATCAATTACTAAAACATATATATATATATATATAAATTTTGTACATACCCTCCATCCACAATTTCATCGACAGCCAGGAAGAGTCCCTCCATATTCTCCAATAAAGCTCTCCTCTCAACATTTTTTCTTCAGAAAAAAACAAACATGCATCTTAAGCAGAGTTTCCAGAATGCTATATTAAATGGTCGACTGATATTCAGCTAAAACAATACCTCAACATCTGACTGAGGGAATCGAAAAGGCAGTTTAGAACAGCCATAAGCATAAGCTGCAGAGAACAGAGAAAAAGACAACATTAAAAGCTCTATTCCAACTATAAATAAAAAAAACTAATGCAATCAATTTGCAAAGTAAAAAAAAAAAGTATGTTAAAACTCGTTCAGGATCCTAAAGCCATTGGATTATAATAACATGGGCAACATTTGACTTTATGTAAAAGGTAAAACACTATTAATAGCTAGTTCTTATTCATTTCAATATGTAATTCTAATCTACAGACAAAAGAAGGAAACAATAAAAAGATATTAGATAGATAGATATGGTTTCAAATCAAGAGGCTTTTTCAGAAAGATCTTTAAAGGTACATTGCATAATCTCAACAATAAATTTACCTCATTTTCATGTGAGCTTCCAATCACATAAAAGAAGAGGTCTATATTGCTCTTGTACACAACAGTCAGGCCTTCCAGTAATGCTATCTCACCTTTAAAGATGTAACAAAGAAAAAATATAATCAGACACCACAAAAACCACAACGTTCTTAAGAAATGGACAGAGGTAGAGCTTACTGTCTGTTCGGTGAGTCTTGTTAAATATGTTCTTCTCAAAAGCTTTCTGCTCCTTTACTGTTGGGTATGTGTCATCATAATACTGTAGACAGATATATATTAAGTTAGTGTATTAATATAGAATATCTAAATATAGCCATAAGATCTGTAGCCCTTTTTTAAATGGTATGCTAATAATAATAAATATTAGAAATGTGCAACATAGTCATACTCTTGACATTTTTAAACTTTGCTTCCTTATTTTTTTAGGTTTATTTTGGTTTACAACCAAGTGTGTAGATATTTCCTAAAATGTACGTTTATCAATAGGAGATTCAATCAAAAAATCCTGTTAAGAGGTCTGAGTGATAATAGCTTAAAAAATATTTTCCCCTAAGAAAACTGATAAATTTTTTTCTTTTTCATCTGTTTAGTTTCATAATAAAAAATCACAAATCATATATATTACTTTCAAAAACTAGTGTTTGCTTCAATTATCCCCTTTGGGAGGTAACTTTAATTGAAAGGGCTAAAACATTCAAGCTATTAATAAGCTTGTAAAACAATCTTTCAAAACAAACAATAAAAAGAAATATGCTAATAAAAATTGCAGCCAGTGGTGTTACACAGTAAGTTAGTATATCTGTTATGAGAGTGTATAGAAAACTAGGGCTGCAACTACTGATTATTTTGCAAATGGATTAATCTGTTGATTTTATTTATTTATTTTTTTTATTAATTGATTAATAATAGGATATCCAAAGTTTCTTCAAAGAAGATTTCTAAAACAAATCAAACCAGGCGAAACTAGAACTTTTCAACAAGAGTTCTGGATAGAGCATATTGACAGACGAAAACATCTTTTCAATCTTAAACGCAAAATGTTTATGTATTTTTTCCCAATTTTGATATAATTATTGCTCTAAGTGGGTCGCTCTGTCAGTTAAAGGCAAGTTTTAGAGTCTCTATACTCCAGTTAACAATGAATCGATTACTGAATTAGTTGATTATTTCAATGATCGATTAATCACGATTAATATAATTAATTGTTTCAGCCCTATCGAAGACGAAACGCGATGAACTGATGACAAACTGAGCTATGGATGTCCAAGATGTGCAGTGGTGGGAAAACATCCCAGTACTTTTTTAAACACCACCATAAAGCATTATCAATAAATAAAGAATAAACACAAGCAAAATTATAAGGTTTGGCAGCATCAAATCAATATTCTACTATTCTATTTAAATACAACCATTTCTTTTCTTACACTATTCAGACAGAAATGCTGCTATAATCAGGAAATTCATAAATGTATGTTTCAAACATAAAAAAGGGATATAGTCGCAAATATTGAACACACATTGATTAAAAAAAAAAGGTGAAAATATTAGTCCTCAAATGAAAGGGGAAATTTGAAAAAATTGATTTCGCTTATGAGCTGTAGCCCCGACTGTTGGGTTAACTTTAATAACATAATTAATTTCCTGCCATTGTACAGTATATTGTATAGGACAGAACCTGTTGGTTAGCCTGTGTGGCTACCATTTCGAGGGAACGGGTTCAAGTTTTTCTAAAGAACATATCCGGTTGATGCATCCTTCCCTGATAAAACTTTAGGTTTACAAATTTATGTTTTCAGAAATCATTTAAAAAAAACACTATTTATATATCAACCAATTTAAGAGGTTGTTTTATGTAACAAATCATTTATATTCTAGGAAATTCTGAGTTATGAACATTCTTAATAACAATTATGTAAACGGTTACCTTGGCATAAAGCCTGTCTCCATCGTTGTCCAGAATCAGTACAGCTTTGACGGTATGCAAGGAAGGTTCCTGTGTAGACAACAACAACATTCCTCTTATTTTTAACCAAATATATAGGAAATTAAACACTTATGTCACAATGAACAGGAAGAATAAAACAAAATAGTAAGTATCAGGGCGGAAATATGTGTGCTGATTGAACGAAATAAACCGTTTATCATGAAATGAATGTAAAATGTCTTAAAACTATCCAAAATGTTCAGCAACTCATAAAAACTACGCTCGACTTCCACATCAGCAATGAACGGGGAGGCTAACTGACTGGTTAGCCAGCGCTTATGCTACTTAGGTCTGTTATACAGCTACTTCCGTTACGAAAACAAATGTTTACTAAACTGTTAAGTAAGGTCATTAATATGTTATTACTGTAACAGTTTTTTCTCAAAACAATATTATGTAATAAGAAACACATGAGGAAACCATACCAGTATGGGAGAATCCATCTTCGTTCTCGTTAGCAAACAGGCTACCTAGCTAACATCAAGCTTACGACGTCCAAACGGGACTCTTCCTGATTGGCTGACGCAGCGCGTTACGCTGTGCTGACGTAAAGGGCAAAGGTCACTTTACTAAGGGTGCTGGCAGTTTGTGTTCGCTATGAAAATTAAGAAATAAAACATTTGGTTGTTAGTACACATATTTTAATTAATATAAAAAGATTATTCAGATACGAAGCTCGTTTTCATTTAAATTATGTAACTGTTGCACAAATGTCCACCCAATAAAAACTAATGTATTTATTTTTAATAATGAGAACAATTTGTTTTTTAAGCTCAGTCTATTTATCTAAGGAAATTTGACTTCAAAAGTTTTTACACCAGTGTAGTAAAAAACTAATAAATAAAAGGATGGATTTATGTCCAGTTCATAATTTAAATTCAATCCATTCTAGTTGTGTAGCTACAAAATGCATAAGTAAACATAACATTATTACTTTATGTCTGTATGGTGTATTGCCATCCATTTTTCTGCCAAAACATCTGTTACTCATCAAGCCATGCAATCCACTATACTCCTGAAATTATTCTGCTGCATCTGGAACCAAGTTATAAGAAACTGGGTAAAATCTTCGCTTTTTTAACTGTAAAATAAAGTCTTAATGGATCTGATTTGCTTGTTTAGAATATCCCACAGTTGCTTGATAGTAAAGAAAACTGATGCATTTTTAGGCCAAGTTAACACTTTACATTTTGTGTTGTGATCCATAAACCATTACTAAACCATATTCCTGAAAAATGCTGCAAACGTCAGGCAATTTTGTTTTCTTGAAACGCTTAGAAGGGTGATACATGTCAGAGTAGACACTCGCTTGGATTGCAGCAACTAAAGTTTCCCAGCAAAATGTACAACTTTCGCATTGCCTCCACCTGCTTACCCTTTTTCCCATTGTGAACCCTGGTTTTATCAGCTCCTTAGGAGAGTGACACACATGTATCCACATAATGTAAAAGACCAGATTAGCCATATCTTTTGGAGTCTGGTCAGTTTTTGATGCTTTTGTCAAAAACTCTGCAATACTTGTTAAACCTTTCAAAGAAATCCACCCTTAGTTTTTAAGCAAGCTGATCTATATTAACTGTTGGATCAAACCACATGATCCAGAGTTCCCTGCCCATTCATCAGTGAGCCTTAGTCATCCAATACATGTTTTTAATTCAACCACTGAGTGAACAACTTGACCAGAATGACTTGACCTCAATGTCAAGTTATCATAAAATGTTTTTCATAAAATCTGCTGAAACCTTGATTCATGCTGATTTGCTTGCTTCTCACACATCATCATTGAACATAAAATACCTTCCTGATACATCCAAGCGATTACGAGGTAATTTGATAAAGAGATAATCAGTGGTTTTAACTTTTCCCCATCCGTGGTATTACTGGTAGGGTTGAGTGATCAGTTATTAAAACTTCCATGTAAGGAAACTTGCACAATATCAACTATTTTTTTTACTAAATCCTCCCTCCAGAACAGATAATAGCTGCCATTCTCTTAATGTGCAGTTATCTTCAGCAGAGGTGGGTTCATCATTGCCATCTATTGACGTCCATGTCTAATTATGTCTCGAACCAACTAATTGCTTTTAGTTTCATCCCAAGTACGCATTTCAGGCCTCTATATTTATCTTCCATAACATTGAAATCTACCAGCCTACAACTGGGGCCTTATTACAAACTTAAGTCTTACAGTCTTAGCTATGGCTACAGACTTAGCTATGGCTTTGCTGTCTCTCTTAACATACCTAACCTGACGCAACAGCCTAGAAACTATTGAGCTTGTCCAATTTTTTTATGGCCAAAATGCTCCTATCAAAGTAATGCACCAAATTGCTAAATTTAAATGTTTTTTCATTTAAACCCAGTTCAAATGGTTTCCACAATCAACAGATCTTAAGTCACCAGAGCAGTTCCGGAATATTACTTTGTCAGACACTCCAGAAGGCTCAGGAGGAGCCCTAAGCAATTGCCTGGATCAAAGACTCTCCAACAAACAGATCACGGTTTTTGAGACCAGTCATGTTTCTTACCAAATATTCAGCAGCACAGGAGCACCACAGAGGATGGCACTCTCATCATTTTTTTACTCTGTACACCTCTGACTTCCAATACAGGACAGTATCCTGTCATCAGCAGAAATACTCAAATGACTCTACAGTCACTGAGTGTATCAAAAATGTACAAGAACCTAAGTACAGTGAGCTGGTGGACTGCTTTCTGGCATGGTTTGGAAACAGTCATCTGGCCCTGAATGTGAACAAAACGAGGGAGATGATTGTAGATTTCAGCAGAAACAGGAACAAATCCAATTTTATTAGAATAATGGGAGAAGAATTGGAGGGGTATAAATACCTTGATGTTCAGCTAGACAACAAACTCAACTGGAGATGGAAGAAAAGAAGAATTATTTTAAAAAATAAAGAAGAAAAAAAATGAAGCAAAATATCGTTTGCTAAGGCTATGACACAAATTAAGAAACTTGTATAGACAAAGGGGTTCCAACCCTTTGCTAATGTGTAAATAATAAAGCTGGCGAATGAAGAAAAACTTCCAACAATACAATCCATGGAAACATCATTGGTAACATTCACAATTGCTAACGTTGTATAATTATTACTTCCACATCTTGGTCAGTAATCAAATTATTTGACTGGAAAGCTTTTGGTTTAAATACTTGTTATTTATATAAACTAGAGATTGTACATAGACTGAATAGAATTACAGGACTACTGAGAAATCAAATCTCAGCTGTGCTTAACCAGAAGTTCTGTGACACGTAGAACTCGCTGTTTGTTGTAGGGCAACATAGTAACCAGAATTTGCTAAATTCACAGGACTTTTTCAGTTTCTCCTGCTCATAAGCATCTTTTTTCTGGATCCTCCCACATTTAACCAACTCCAATTATCTTACTTCCCACTTCTGGGAAACGTTTGGAAAAGGCTGGTTGATGGGGATTTCCCTCTATCTTAGTCCACAAATGACATCATTGTTTGGTCTTACTGTTAGATCCTTTTGGTCAAGTGTTTCAAATATTACTGGAAAGAAATCGATGTACCTAAATTAATCCTCCAGAGAACTAGTGCAATGAAGAGATATAAACCTATTTGACACTTATTTATAACAGTATTGTGGTAAAGAACTATGAAGTGTTGCAAGACAGCGCTATGTTTACACAATACAGCCCCTAACATTTCAAAATTGCCATGAGTGGAGAGGAAACAGCATGCTGCTTTTAACTCAGACAGGGTAAAACGATCTTTGGATGTCATGCCCTCTCATTTATTAAATATATATTGGAGTTTATAGGTGATTTTACCACAGTAATAATGATGACAATTACAGTGGGTGATGAGTAAAGATTGACAAATGAGTCAGCATAATTTAGCACACAGAAAATAAATAATGCTTGCTAACTTTGAGGTGAGATGAGAATGAATAATGATTAAAGCTCACGATAAAAAAAAACACCTTTTTTCCAACAAAAAAACAAGCTCTTCTGTTCTGAAAAACTATACACCTGTAGTGCATTTTTTGCTCTATATGTGTCATTTCTGTCAATCGCTCAAAGTATTTCTCACAAATATTGAATAATGTGCATTTTTACATAAGTAGAAGGGTAGTGGTGTCAAAGTGTGGGTTGTTCCCCTGTCCACTGCATATGCCAGCAACCACAGCAGTTAGCAGTTCCCTTCCTCAGAACCAAGCGCTCCTTTTATCAGCATTAAGCAGAGCTTCCGCCAGCCAACATCCTCCTTTCCCTGCCTTCCATCTCTGTTTATATTGTCAACCAGGCTTTGCATGCTTTGAGCACATGGATTGCATTTAAACACAAAAAAGATGCATGCAGCATGTATACACAAAAATTTATGAAGCCTTACATGATGAGTGTAAGTCTGAGAGTAAAACCAACTCTTTAACACAATTGCTACATAAAAAAAAAAAAAACGAAATACGCACAAATGTCAACTGAAAGCTATCGGAAAATAATCCAAAAGTGCAATGCTGCTGTTGCAAAACGTTATCATAATCTGGACATCTTGAGATAAGCGCAGGTTTTATTGAGACATTCAGAAGAATGATGCTGCATGTTTAGGTTCCTCATTTTTTCACCTTCAAGTCACAGCAACGTTGTGAACATTAATAGTTGTCACAGAGAAGAACGACAGAGGACTTGCTATAATTAAAATCAATTTAAGTTTAGTAAACATCTTTGTGGAGTCATTACGAAAAGGAGATTTTGAATTCAATAAAAATGAAAAGATGCAAACCTAACATCTCTCGGCTTGTTGGTTTATCAAATGTCAGCTGTTCCAGCAGCCGCTTACATACAAATAATTTTTCATCATGAAATTCTAATATATCCACCCATCCATAATCATTATTTATTACTTTACTAACCTCAGTCCAAACAAGTATTTACATTTAAGACCTCTTAACATACCTAACCTGTTTATTTTCCTTGATTCCACATCCAAATGATAGATTTACAGTAAACATAAATGCTTTTCTTCATTGAAAACAAATTAAGTTTGAAAGGGATTTCCAGAAATAGAGAAATACACAATTAAAACTAGAATACAAATTTCCTGGATAATGTATTTTATAAAAGCATGCTGAACAGAAGTCATTGGCAAAAAATGCAAGAGATAAAGTGGCTTGTTTAGTTTTATAGGGCATCTGAAGAGTGAAAAAAAATCAAGAGAAATTACGATCTCAACCTTGAATATATATTACTGTTCTCCATTTGTATAGGCACAGCTAAAGTTGAACAACCATAAAATAAAACACACATAATTGAAATGAAACATAAGATCGCACTCTAAAAATTCTAAGGGACCAACAGGTTCCAACAGATCAATAATATTCTGTCCACTGTCAAGAAAATAGCACTTTTCCATCTTAAAGGAAAATCACAATTCAATCCAAACTGGAGCAATTTGCTACACTTGATAATAAACATGTATTTAGGACATGCTTAAAAATTTACTGCAGCTGTACATAATTTTCATTTGAATTTGTTTTGTGTGTAATTTGATTATTTATTTTTGCTTTTCGTCTGCTTTGTTCATCTTAAAACACATGAAACTGTAACATTCTTTTTATTTCAGAACACGCCCCGGCTTCTATTTATCAAAGATGATTTGCTGTCACTAGTTTTTTCCCCTCTTCCCAGAAGCTGACTCTGAAAACATTCCCTTTTTTGATACCACAACCTTCTGTGTGAACCCATTTTGCTGCATAGTGATTTCCATTTGTGTCTGATAGTTTTCCTAGATACACAAACCAAGTTAAGACAAAGCAATAAAAGGGGGCTGTATCGTGTGCAAGAAACTGAACAAGACACAAGCTACTATGTTTAGCCTTTGGGTTTCAGGGCCATTAAGATAAATGAAGCTTGAGTTTAGTCAACTATGGGTGTTACCAACAACTCCGCCTGCTGTGTTTTTTTTTTAAGAAAAATCATCTGTGCATCCGTGAGGAGTATGAAAAGCAAACTCCGATGGGATATCTGAGCTCTAGGCAGACAGTAAAGCAGAGATGTCAAAGACTAATTGGAGCAAACAAACACAAACTGGGAATGTGGGCGTTGACCTGGGAACTGTGTCCAGATTTCAAACCGCTGTGGTTTCTGTAATAACAGGGCATGCTGTGGCATTGGTTGAGTCAGGGGCTGGGTGCTAGGAACTTGAGTTGGGAAGTCCCTTCCTGGATTCCTGGTAGATGTTCACCTTTCTTGACTTTGTCAGCCACCTACATTTCCTACCCCAACCAAAAACATTGTCACTAAATAATTTGTGATTTTAAGTGGAGTATTATACTGCAATAATATCATGCCACAAAACCTTTGAAATTGAAATACTTTAAATCTAAATTTAAGTGATGTAGGTGCCCCTATAATTATGCAATATACTTCAACAGGGAATCTGCTCAACATTTTTATTTTAACATAGTGAAAACAAGCTTTATTTTTCATTACAAGTTCCTGGTAGTATTGCAATATAGTTTAAATTAATAGTTCATCTTGCAACTATGCTGTTCTTTTTTTATTTGGTGAAAATAAAAATGCATAGTTTATGAGAGTATTATGAGAGCATATAATTTAATTAAGCACAAGATCTCACAAAATGTTTTAGAAAAAAAACTGAATATGATGCACTTTCTACTATAATAAGTGATTTTTACAGTTAATCATTGGTTTAGAGTTCAAATTAAAATGTGTTGACTGACTGTTATCATAACTCTATAGTCATCTGTGTCAATGTAGGACATGGTCTTGCTATTGTTTATTCTAATGCAAGCCGAATGGAAATAGGAAAAAAATGAATAATAAATCAGCTTGATATTATTAGTCACTAATTTGTGTGAGAGGTGCAGTAAAATACAATGGTGACAAGGAACATAAAAGCCTTTGTAAGTTCCCTCTTCTGGTTTTAGATCCGGGCAATGAGGGGGATTTTTTTGTGTGGGATTTCAATGGTCACTTGCTATGTAAGACACGCTCCCCTTCATTCTTCCCCTGCTCCTGTATCTCCCTTGGCGGTTGCTCTGCCAGATAAAGGAACAATGCTGTCTTTCTTACCTGTCGGAGGGGTGTGCATTCCAGCCCCACTAAACTGAGTCTCAGTCCTGCCTCCGAGTGTTCAGCAGGGCCCTCGTAGCAATGCTGCCTCTGACTCCAGGTGCTTCAAATCACACTCATCATACCTTTTCCCCGTTGGAGGATTTTGGAGGACGTTGTTTTTGTGTGGTTTTGGACCAGAGACATCCACACAGCTTTTTTAATTCTGGTTCAATTCTTTGATTTGATCCCTTTAGGTGTATACTTCACAATTAGAGTGAAAATGGCTTCATATTTTGGTAGGTTTGTAAACATTTACCTACCACACTGTTGACTGACAGAATGATTGCCGTGGTGTGTGCCAGACTGTTGGTTTGTGGTTTCTTGTGAGGGCAAAAGGGAAATTTTGAGGCTGGGGTGCAGGTTTGCTATTAAGGATACAAGAGTGCAAAGAAAAGAGAAAAAAAAAGGGGGCTGGTGTGGGTGCTTTACAGGAAGATTGCGTTTGTCTGCACCGAGCCATCCCATTTATGCTGGTGGCCGTATGTGCAGCTGAACAGAGGTTCACAGTTAGAGAAGAGATAGAGCAGGAGGCCTCATGTGTCACACCTCTTGTCATCGGTCGCGAAGGCTTTGAGTAATTTTCTCGTAGTCACCTCTGGGACTGTGCCTCACATAAGTTTTCTGTTCCTCATCACCTGCTGGAGATGATGAAGATGTTGCTCAGGTATGTAGATTTATAATTCCCTTCTGCTTTATAAAATGTTTTATTTCCAAGTTATCCAGATTGTTATTGTATCAAAACTTTCACATATTATGTATTTCTAATATAGAAATAAAAGTCAGAATACTATAATCAACAATTTAACAATTGTATAACATGCGTTCATCAATATAATTCATCATTCAGAGCAAAGATTAATTTCTATTTAACTTTAAGTCAAGCATTTAACAAAAAAAAAAAAAAAAAAAACCGGAAGAAAATTCCTATAGATGCTTTTGATCCTATAACTAAATGAGGGAGGAAAGCCATAATATGACAGAAATCTTTACTGCATAACATATTTGCCACAATATCCTATTTCACATAATCACAGATTGGCGGACAACTTACACGTGGCAGTTTTAAATAGCTGCACATCAAATTTTTTAAAAGAAAGTTTGAAAGTGTACGTTACTTTAATTTCTGCATTATGATGAAAAAAGAAACCTACAAAAAAAAAAGCAATATCAAAACAAAAAAAAACATTTTTATGCTTATCATATGTCCATATAAAGAACATGAAATAGTCTTTGAGAATGACTGAATGTATATAAATAAATACATGGATATATTTGGCTATACCAAGTCCTTTAGTTATTCTTCAAACTATTTTTAATATTCATAATTCATGGGAGAAAAAATAATATTCTTTAAAAAAAAAATTATTGTAAAAAAGGTGAAGGCAACGATAAGTTTTGGGTGTTTTAGAAAATACTCTGCAGTTTTTTCTTTATCAATGTCAGTGAATTAGTCTTAAAGCACATATTACTATAACCCCTTTTTCTTTTTCAGTTTTCCTAAATCATTTTACAAGACACACAGTATCTTCAAAATGGGTTAAAAGTAGGCTCGGTCTTACAGGATCTTAAACAGAATAGAACTCATTGAGTAATTGATTCATTATTCAGTGAATGTGAGATTAGACCAGCAGTTCCTAAATAATTTTGAAAGACATTTTACTAATGATCTCCTTCCAATTCCATTTAAATCAGTTTAAAAAAAAATGTCAAACTTGCAGAAATTGAGAGCAAATTTTCCTTAACAGCCATCTGTCCTCAGTCTCTTTCTGAAGACGCAGTTTGTCTTATCAGGGTTTGACATAGCTGCACCCTGGAACAGCTGATAGGAGAAGTCAATTCAACTGAAATTATCCTTTTATGAGTTACAGAAGAACCTTCAGGACACCAGAACAGTCTCCTATTTGTGTTGAAAGGCTCACAGATGTGTAATTTCCTTGAGATGTGTGTGGTGCACCAGTTTGTGATGAGAGGACAGTAGATCACAAATTGCTCTGTGTCTCCACCAGGTGTACATGTTGCAGTGCAAGCTTCTCCTAAATGTGCTCAACAGCCAATTGCGTTCTCCCTTTGAGGAGGCCCTGTGAGGTAAGTCCACACACAATATGAAAATCAGGAACCTCTATACTATGCAGTGTATAGGTTCTAGAATGAATAATTTTTATATATACATACAAATAAATTATGTTTTTCTATACAAGGTTGTGGCTACTCCAGGCAGGCTGTGTGGGGGGGTATCCATGCCTGCTAACTGTAATGGAGTCAGGCCTCATGGACATCTGCAGGACACAGAGATGGATATGGCTTGGCAGGAGTTGATGGCCATCACTGAGCTCCAGGTAAAGCTGACTTCCAAAACTATTTTTAGTAACATTTTAACAACAGACAGTTTAAAAACAATTACTCTATCTACTGGTTAAAAGTAATGTAGAAATATACTTGTTTTTGCAGTGGATCTTGTTTTTTTTTCTTTTTTGACACATGCAAAAGACGGCATAACTAAGTGTTAACTAAAGAAACTGATTGATTAAAAAAAAAAAAAAAAAAAACAGACTGGTGACAATTATTTCCACGCCTAAAGATGAAAAAAGATTTTACTTGCCAAAGCATATAAAAAAAAAAAATTCAAATGAGAGCATCATTTCGACTTTTAATAAACTTTTTTGCTAAATATAACAATTGACATTAATTCATTATGGGAAACATCTTAAATCAATCAATAATTAAAAAGATAGAAGTGCAATAATCTTTTCTGAAAATCAAAAAAGCTCTTTATTAATTTTAAACATTTTCAGAAAAGCAACACATTAGAAAATGAATTCATGCAAATAGAAAAAGGAAGTGAAGCTTGTAGATTGTTGTAACTTGTACCATGACCGTACAATACTATAAAAAAAACAAGCAATCATATATTGTGTACAAATTCTGGTGATTTAAAGACTGAAATAAAAAAAATAAAAAAACATAAAAGTTATTGTATATATACTATTTTACCTAGGTATTTTATTACCTGGTTTATACGTGGGCCTACAGGAACTTTGACGACACATATTCCTAATATGAGGTAAAGCTTGTTGATGAATCCCTGCTCCGCAAAAGCAACTTTAAATATAATGTGACTGTGTACTATCTTCCTCAGGGTTTGCAATGGTTCATAATGACCTGTAAAAAAAAAAAAAGAACTGAAGAATCTGCTTTTATTCACTGATGGCAGGTGTCTGTGCAGGCCTGTCAAACTTTACCAACCCGCAACCTTTGTCATGATTGGAACAACCAGTTCCAGATTTGGAGGTGTGCCTTAATACTTTTGGCAAAATAGCATAAAGTACAAAAGTATTTTAATCAAATATCAATAAATATCTAAATATCATCTGTTTGTTGTGTGTTTACCCAAAGATGGGTTTTAACATAGAAAGTAACATAAAAACAACAAAGCTTGTGCACAAATGAATAGTCTTACTTTAACCTAACCTGCAGTGTATGTTGCATTTCGGATATAAAAAAAAAACAGCAAAACATTTTACTCAATTAAGAGAAGTTTTACTTCCTAATGTTACTCAGGTAAAAGTGAAGTTAGCAGAATAAAACTACTTCAAAAAGAGAATTTAGTTCAGACGGTTAACGTAAAAGTACTTCTGTAAACAAAAACTATTTTGAGAGTTTTCGGTTGTTTAAAAAGTTGGTGGGTCGGTGGGGTAAATGGAAGGGTCATTAAATATTTTTGCAAACTAAAAGAGGGCCCTAAACACATTACAATTAAGATATGATTACATTTACTGTGGATTTACAGATATAACGACAAAGTGAATCTCACACTTAAACAGGCTTCAGTGATTAAGCCAACTGTTTGCAGTATGAAAGAATTTGGCTTTAATTACTAGCAGCAGAACATAAAGGTCCAAAGAGCTCATAAACTTATCTCTTCCTTTTGCTATTTAGTTAAATGGTAGGATTTATCAGTGGTTGTCGTAAATTGCCTCACTCATAGCATTAAGAGTACGCAGCAATGCAGTTTTGTTTTTTTTAAATAATATGCACACTGCTAAATGACATTACATTACCCTCAGGAGGCCTGATTTTTATTCCAAAACTTTTTTAGGGCAAGTAGTGAAGACGTTCCATTGTCTTGTTGACAAACAGAAATCTATCAAACGCCTTTTTCAGTTATGGAGGTTCATATTTTGCCCGGCTAGCACAAAAGGGATTTGTTTGTTTTTTTCCAGTAAGTTTTATGCATGAAATACAAATAAATGCCTTAATGTACTGTATGTATCTTGATATCTGCCTTTTTGAAAATCCAACTTTAATATTAACATTTGGTAAATGCCCCTTAAAGCAAAAAAATATATATATACACACACATACAGCCAATCATGGCATATTGGCAAAATGCTATTAACTGTTTTTATCTTTTGTCACAGGAGTTTGAAGCCCAAAGTGAAGGCTCATACGAAGCTGCACAGTATCAGTCTATGCAGCCTGTGGCCCCTGCTGGAGAGTTTGGGATGACCCAGGGTCACTCAGAGGCCCCTTCTACTGCTTGTGAGATGAGTACCATTGACACATATGAGGGATGCTACCCTGGAGCGCTGCCTTCCAGCCATCGTCTAAGCAGCAATACAGGCGCAGTGTATGGAAATGCAGATTCACAACTTCCTCAAAGAATGTTACCCATCTCCTCTCAGACTCAGTCATCGGTTATAAGTATGTCAGGCACCATTCAGGGTCATAGGAGACCCAACACCAGCACCTCTCAGGGCTTAAGTAGGCACATGCTGTGGACTACACATGGACACAACGCACATGTCCGCTCAGGGGATGACCTGGAATCAGATTCTGGTCTCTCACTGGGATCCAGCCCACCTTTGGCCTCCCCAGACAATCCTGTTAGTGCACCTGCTTACCAAAACATAGATACAGGTACACTTTATGCAGACTGTGAATCAGAAAGAGTGAATGAGCATGGCAGAAGGGGTCACAGTTACCCAATGGATTACCAGAGCCAAACTTTTCCATATTTACACTCTGGTGGACATCCACCTTATTTTTCACCTCAACCCAGTTTCTCTCACACACAAAATTGCTCCATGAATCCCCGCCCCCTGACACAAACTGGTGTTATGGCTGACCCATACAATTCTACAATGCCCAGCAGAGGGAGCTCATATGGCATGAACACAAAATCACAAGGAGGCAGTTCAAATCCTACTCTTAGCAGAGATGAGCGCAGAGCTATGGCTCTGAAGATTCCCTTCCCATTGGACAAGATAATCAACCTCCCAGTCGATGACTTCAACGAGCTCCTCACACAGTATACTTTGACAGATACTCAACTTGCACTGGTCAGAGACATTAGACGCAGAGGCAAGAACAAGGTGGCAGCCCAAAACTGCAGGAAGAGAAAGCTGGAGAGCATCGTCCATCTTGAAAGGGAACTGAATCACCTGCAGGCCCAAAGAGAACACCTGGCGCAAGAGCGGCTGGAGTTCCAACGTAGCTTGGCTTTCATCAAATGCCGACTCTCAGACCTCTATAGAGAAGTTTTCTCTCACTTAAGGGATGAAGATGGCCAGCCTTACTCCATAGATGAATATTCTTTACAGCAAACCCCTGATGGAAATATTTATTTGGTACCCCACTCAATGGACAAGAGAGACCAATGTTAATTCCTGCCTTTTTTACTTTTTAAAATCAAGCTGGGCTAACTAGCCATTTGTGACTTATTTTTGGTCCACATTCCTAATATGCAACTGTATACATCCACTTCCTAAAAATGAGCAAGACCACACAATTTATAAAATGTATAAAAGTACTTTATTAAAAAACGATGTAAAAAGAATTAAAAGATTGCACAGCAGTCTTCAGTGAAGTTAAAACACTTCTGCACTGAACACATGTCCAGTTAACCTGTTGAGGGGGGTAGGGGATTAAATGAATAATTTATAATAAAAGGACTAATGTAAATGTGTTTCTTAATACCTGTCTGAGTCATGTCGTGGAAAAGAGTCACATTTTGGGCACCACTGGAAGCTTTCTGGAAAGAAACAGTTAAGTGAGTGAACAGGCCGTATTTCACATTGAGAAAATTAATGCATGCAATATTTGACCTCCATTCACAATTACAGAGGTCAATGTTACCATCGACACTGAAGAATAAATTTATGTTTACACCATTGCTGGCCATAAAACCGACTACCAGCTACAATTCAAAGGTTAGATTTACTGTATTGTTGAGAAGTCTGGTCTTACCTACGAACAGCATTTAAGCGTTTTGGTAGCTTCTTTCAGCTAGCCTCAGGCCTCTGTTCTCACTCTCCCCTGCTTCAATGATCCTGGCGATGGCTTTGCTACTTCTCTCCCTTAGCTTGCTTCCATGGCTAGCCTCACTTTAGATGTAAGCTAGCATCTTCCAGTTGATCTTTGTTGAAATGAGGGTAGAGTCTGTACCAAGTGATGGCCTCTTTATGATGATAGTATTTGCACACTTCTTAACCAGAGCTGTAGATGCTGGGATCTCCTTTCCTTCCCAAATGCCTCATTCAGCATTGCCCTGGCAATCATTCAGTATTGCCCTGATCCCCACTCTGCACAACATCTAACAGTGCACCCTCCCTTACCCATACCACTACATAAAATAAACAAATCTAACACGACTTAAAAAACTGAAAGGTGGGTTTATTTCAGTGATTTGAAGCAGTTACAAATAAAAACCAGACTCAAAGATAAAACATAAAACCCTCATTGGAATGCTTTTTATAAACACATTTTGTTGAAAGAAAAAAAACAGAAGACAACGTTTAATTGAAGGCCCTCCATGATTTATCTAAAGTTCATCTCTTCTTGTAGCAGCTGTAACCTGCCACAACTGCTTGGCTGAGCAGATTTAGGAGGTAAACCTGCAGCTGCCCTGTCACTTCGCTTGCTCTCCTCTCCTTGCTCTCCTCTCCTAAGTAATCAGTCCTGTTGAACAATATGGAACAACATTGTTAACTATGCACTGACTTTGTATGACCTGACATCCACAGTGTATTTTCTTTTTAGTTATCACTACTCAAAGATGTCCTGCAATGATAAAACTTTGGTTTTTCAGACAAAATACAAGCTAAAACAAGTGGTTAGATCCTTACCACTCGAAGTCTTAGAATCGTCCCGGTCGGCCATAGCCACCAGGATTGTTGGAGCCGCCTCCATAGCCACCTGAGAGACACAGGTTTGATTTACTTTTTTACTCAGTAGGTATACTTTCACCAAATGTAAAAATCAAAATGCTTACCGAAGCTCCTGCCTCCACCGCCGCCGCCACCACCTCCAAAGTTGTTCTTCATTGGACCAAAGTTAGAGGCCTGGGGGTCGTAATGGCCCATGTTGTTGTAGCCACTGCCGCCGCCTCCACCACCGCCACCACAGTTACCTTGAACAGAAAAGGTGGGAAAAAAAAAAAAAAAGTCAAGCGAGGTGTACCAAAAACACTATTAAAACGTAAATTAATGCTCTGCAGGTCTTTACCATAACCGTTGCTGTCGTAGCCGTTTCCACCATAGCCTCCACCGCCGCCGCCTCCACCACCCTGGTTGTAACCCTGGTTATAGCCCCTGTTTCCACCGTTGCCGTATCCACCAGGACCTCCAGGGCCACCTCCATAACCTAATACACAGACCGATTTAGCTCCAAGATTCACCAAAAATACAAAATAAATGCGTACCAAGACACTTACCGCCATCGTTCCAATTATTAGGACCATCTCCATATCTACCTCTGCTACCTTAAATCACAAAGAAAACAATATGAGGCTTAATTGAGATTACCATAACAACAGTTTTGCTCACAAGTCCTACCCTGGTTGAAGCCTCTGTCGTAATCATATGGCCTTCCCCCGCTGCTGCGTCCTCCTCTCATTCCCATTCCTACGCTTTGCATTTCCTGCTTAGTCAGGGCCTTCCTGACTTCGCAGTTGTGAGAGTTTATGGTGTGATATTTTTGAACTGCACAAGAGAGAAGAAAAAACTAAATCAGCACTGTCTGCAACAGAAAATTCCCATTGAAACAAGGACGTCCATTTACTTACTGACAATCCTGTCCACTGAATCGTGGTCATCAAAGGTGACGAAAGCAAAGCCCCTCTTCTTTCCAGTGCCGCGGTCGGTCATAATGTCAATGACCTCGATTTTGCCAAACTGTTGAAAATAATCCCGAAGGTGACACTCCTCAGTGTCCTCTTTGATGCCTCCCACAAAGATTTTCTTCACAGTTACGTGAGCACCTGGACGGTTTGAGTCCTAAAAGAACAAAGGAATGTATTAGTCAAAAAGAAATCTGTAAACTACATTGATTAAATTATGACTGCCATTGCATGTTTCATACTTCTCTGGACACAGCACGTTTAGGCTCCACGACCCTCCCATCCACTTTGTGAGGACGGGCAGCCATTGCCGCATCAACTTCCTGTACTGAGGAATAGGTAACAAAGCCAAAACCCCTGGACCGCTTGCTGTTGGGATCTCTCATGACCTAAAGAAACAACCTTTTTAAACAACTGCACTTAAAACTACAATAAATGAAAGCATTTAACACATACGTACCACGCAGTCTGTAAGGGACCCCCATTGTTCAAAATGAGCACGCAGGCTCTCGTCTGTCGTCTCGAAGCTCAGGCCTCCAATAAACAGCTTGCGGAGCTGCTCTGGTTCACGAGGGACCTAAACAGACACATATTAAGTTCTTCATAATGGTCAAACTAATGCATTCTTGATAACATTTTCATAATAAGTGAAATGTGTGTAAATAAGTAACCCCCTCCCCCTCTTCATCATGGCGGAGGAGGGAGCCGTCGCCGCCATTAACGCATGTCGCTCGGTTAATGGCATGGAATGCTACGTATTAAATGCAAACTACTGAACCACTAACTTTAGTTTATATCTGTAGAGGGCTAATGTGTATTAGCGTAAAACGCCACTTTTCACTTTTAAATTTCGTCAACCGCTGGCGACGAGAACAAAAGACCACGAGCCCCAGATACTATAAAATGGCCGCTCTGCTGTGAGCGAGAGGAGCTGCAGACATCGTGTCTACGATCGAACAAATTAAGCATCAAATCCAAACTTTAGCCATTTTAAGACGTATAGGATCTATTTACCGGGCCGAAATGCGTGAAGAAATACGTCTAACTTACGTCTTTCGACATCTTGTAGGTTTATCCTTGAAGCCTCCTTGTAGTACAGCCGCAGAGCAGCGATTCTGCGTCAGGCGAGACCGGACTTTTTTTCTGGATAGCACAATAAATAGGGAAAGATACGCCTCTTCTGTGCTACCATTGGGTGATGGTTCCCGCTGCGTCGGCTTATCGGTTTGGGTCGCATTTTAATTGGTCTTCGCTCTGCCAATCACAATGAATAACCAATCACTAGGCAGGAGAACCTTTTTATTTGAAATTACAGGAAAATGGCGATCTAGTGACTTCCATGACTCAATTAATCCACAAATTAGTTGAAATTCCAGAATTCATTCTGGGGTTGATCTAGTTTAAGTTACTATACATTCACGTTTTTGAAATAATTTGCAACATTTGCAACGGCCCAAATAGATCCACTGAGAAAGGCAGACAATTAATTATCCCAAAGGACATAAAAGCCATTCACAGGAAGATTTAATAACGCAAACAGATTTAGCAAACCTCTAGTACTGCCAAACTACATATGAAAATGTGTTTAATATTTAAGTAAGATAAACTATATAAAGACCAAAACAAATTGAAAATAGTTTAAAGGATACGTATTTTATATGAAATCACTGAAAAATAATAGGCTTTGGAAGGATTAAAACAACATGAAACCCTCCTAAATGTGGTGAAATTTAAACGTAAATGACAAAAAATAAACCAAAATCGATACAGAATTTTTAAAAGGCAAAGAATAATTGAAAATATTCCTAAAAATGGCACATGTTATCAGAGAAAAAGGGGCGGGTTCAATCGTTGTACGCTTTAAGGCGCGCTTTTTCTGCGCACAGCACCTGTGTGGAAGCTAAATGCTAAAGTAGCCTTTGCGTTCGGCCTCTCTGCTGCTTCACAATAGACGGGATACAAGCCTGCCGTTAAGTGCCCGAAAAACGCTCCTTTTTACTGTCCGTACGGTAAGGAAATGCTCCGCCAACAAGATGATTAATATTGGAAGTATGAATTAGTAGTTTGATATGTGTAGACGGCATGCTTGTTAAAACGGTAGCTAGCCAGGCTACATGACAAGCTAACTTGGAAAGCAAGGGCTGGGCTAGCTCAGGACGGCATCAAACATCGTTGCAATGTGCAGCTTTTGTGCAAATGCTATATTGCACAGTTTTAGTTTGGGTATATATTTGCTCCAAGCATTGAAATAAAAAACACATTTGTCGATATTTCACTTTGGATGCATCCCATTTTCGCAGTGATAGCATGTTGCAGAAGGGATACACCACAATAAAACGTTTCCTTTCTGCTACTCTTGTGTTAAATTGGGCCATTAGGTACCACTTAACTATAACTTTCGCGTAGGATATGCATCATTTGGGGTGTATTTGCATTTGTTTAAACATATTATGTGTCAGGTTGCGTTGTATTTGGGTTAACGCTGTTTTGTGTATCCTCGTGAACAGGGAAGTATCGAAGGCCTGTGTCAGCGTGTTGCTAGGCTCCGGACTGTGCCATGGGCAAAAAGTCTCGCGACGAAGAATCCTCATCCTCTGAAGAGGAAGAATATGTTGTGGAGAAGGTGCTGGATCGGAGGGTGGTGAAAGGAAGAGTGGAGTTTTTCCTTAAATGGAAAGGATACTCAGAGTAAGTTAAGAATCGAGGACTACATGCATATGATATGATGCACACCATGATGATTATAATATTTTTAAAGCCTTTAATTTAGGTACAAAACCCTCTTACCATGACCCAGCCAGAACATGTTCTACTATATTGCAGCAAGCACAACACATGGGAGCCAGAAAAGAATCTGGACTGTCCTGAGCTGATAGCAGAGTTTATGAAGACCTACAAGAAAGGCAATAGTGGGACTTCTGCACCAAGCAGCGGGGCCAGCAAATCTACAACTGGTTCTTCAGGGCGTTCAAAAGAATCCAGCAGCTCCAAGAAGAGGAGCTCTGATGATGATGAAGAGGGCAGTAGCAAGCCCAAGAAAAAGAAAGAGGTACGTAAATGCACAAAGTAATGCAGCACATTTGTATGTATACGTTCAGCTTGATATAGCACCTGGGACTGTTTTGTTTATTGTTATAAAGGGGTGTGGGAAATAATTTTGACACTGATTTGTCTTTAAGTGAGATTTTCAAATGGTTCATTATTAATTTTACTTTGATAATTTCTATTTATGTATTTGATATGTTGAAGTATAGTTGAAATATATATTTTGTATATTTTAGCTTTTGTTTTTCATGGTTTTCGATGACACTGGTTTTGTTTCAGGATGAAATCCTAGTGGCACGTGGGTTTGAGAGGGGCCTTGAGCCGGAGAAGATCATCGGAGCAACTGACTCGTGTGGAGACTTGATGTTTCTCATGAAGTGGTAGGTTTTGACATATTTTTAGGAGCACTTTGCACTGCTGAGATCACTGCATCACAATAACTTTTCATTGACCTTTTTAGGATGATAAATTGTTGAGTTTGACATTTAGACAATATTTTTCAAACCCTCTATGCAGTGTCTATCTGCAAACTTGTAGTGCAATGTTGGATTAAATCATTAGACCCAACTTGCATCAAGGTAAATTAGGTTTTTTTTTTTTAAGCAACTTTCACAAAGTGAGATGTATTCAAATAAAGTTGGATAAACATAAATGAGTATTTAAGTGTAATGGGAATGTTTGTCATTAAATGCTCAGCTGCTTCTCTAGTTTCTGCTATTAGATGAGACTTGCTGTCCTAATCCTAATGTAAAGGTGTTATGACATAAGGCCATAAATGAGCCACATTTGCGGGGAAATTAACCTTCCAGATTTCTCCATTTGCGTATTGTGTTTAATGTAGTGAAACAATCTAGTTTCTAGGGGTTAAGTGATGCATGTATATTTAGATTCTTTTTTTAATACTGTATAGAAACCCATATTTTGATATGAATTTTAACCCTGGGATTTTGCAGGTAGCTCTAATGGCCTCAGAGTAAAATGCTTATCAATCAGCGTTATGTGTGGGGTTTTTTTTGCTGCTTATTCATACTATTCTTGCCCAGTAATCTGCAGCGAAAGATTCAGATGAATAAAACTGAAGGTGTGCAACTTATGCTAAAATCCGAGGATGGTACAGATGATTTCTAATTCTCTTACAGGAAAGATTCCGATGAGGCGGATCTTGTACTTGCCAAGGAGGCCAATCATAAGTGTCCACAGATCGTCATAGCCTTCTACGAAGAGCGTCTCACCTGGCACGAAGACAGCGACAAGAAGGAGAAGGATGCTGTCACCGCATGAGTGCCTCGACTCAAGAGGAACACTCCACTGCAGGGACAACCTTGAGTCAGACTTTATTTTTTTTTTTGTAGTTTTTTTTTTTTTTTTTCTCAAACACCTGAAATCTCCCCCCATCTTTCACCTATACCATGTCAACTGACACGAAGATGACAGACATGGTTGTCGTTTCCTCTATCCATGCCCTGATCAGAGCGCAATGGCCGCAGACTGCTGGGGTGGGGGTACATCCAAAAAGGAGCTGCAGTGGCTGTGGGTGATGTGCTACAGGGGGAAAGAGTCACTGTCTTTGTCTTTATATCGATTTAACTTTTTTTTATTATCCTAGCATATGTTCTTAGGACTAAAAAGGATGCGATTATAGCAGAAAGAAATTTAAATTTTAAGATGTAATAAACATATTAATTTTGAGAAGCGGGGTGCATACTGTATTACCATGGCATCCTGTTCTAAATTTTAAATCACTGATCTGCGTCTCCCCATAGTAAAACCACAATAGCGTTTGTATTTGTGAAGCAGCTGCATCAGTATTTTCTTGACTGCTTCATCGCATCCTTTTAAGAACTATTTTTAATCATGTAGGACTGCTTATCACTTTTAAAAGCTGTTTTTAATCGTATAGTTTTGTTTTTCATGTTTACCAAAATATTCTGAGTTTTAAACGACTCTCTTCACTGCATAGTGGCTTTTGTATTTTCTTTTGTTCCCGGTTATCCTCATATGTTGTAATTTTTAAAAAACGTCACATGATTGTGATGAAGTACAATAAAACATTTTACTCTGTCTTTACATTTTATTTTTTCTTCTTGCTGTAGTCTGAGATTATTCAGAACATTTCACAGGTTGATATCCACAAGTCTTGGGTGGGGGGGAAAAAATTCCTGGCCCCTATTAGTTTGCCACCTAGTGGCAGCTAAATTTAATTACAGAGTTCAACAATAAGAAACCTAATTTTTGCATTTATGATGAAACGTGTCAAAGTTGAGAAAATGTGGATGTTGATGGCAATGTCTGTGGTTTATAATTGGTCATTTAAACTCAACAGTTAAAATCTTATGGGTGCTTAGACACACTTTTTAATGTACACATCATTGATGTGGTTTGGTTTTCACTTTGGACCAAATCTTTAGCCAATTCCAAGTTCCCCCTGAGAAAGGGGTGATGGTATTTCTTTTTATACCAATAGTTCATTGTATAACTTTTTTTCCCCTCTTGATCAGAAATGTTTTTGCCATTTTTTTTTTTTCCAATTTTTTTTGTGTGTGTGAAATGAAAGTTACAGGTATGTGTATAGTAGCCCCCTTTTAATAAAACTTTAATTTTTTGTGTTGAAGTAGGTGTCTGAGCTTTTGTGTGCCACACGTTTGAGCTGATTTCCCTCCAGGCAGCTAAGTTAGAAATGTCTTAATGTTATTGAAACTTTTTTTTTTTAGTAATTTGGTTCAAATAATTCCCCCCCCCCCCCCCCAACATGTCTGTTTAGGAATGGTAGAATCTATTTTTTTTTTCCCCCTCCATAAAGGTAAAATATATAGTCCTGGTAAAACTATTAAGAGAAATATGACATAAGTCCCAAGGAAGAGTGTGGAAAAGACTTAAGCAGCAGATGTTATTTTAAACCCTTAGAAGGATAAGCCTCAAATGTCTAAAGAACATATACAGATAGAGGTATGGAAAAGGATGTCTGCAGATTTGTGCAGTTATGTAGGACCAGGGCTTGAGCTTTTATTTTTGTTTTAAGCCTCACCTGAACCAACGAGTCTGTTAGGAATGTCTTACCTAGCTAAAAAGGCTGGACTGTCCATTTGCCAAAAATATTTGCAAAGGAAAGTAAATTTGTCGTTGATTTGTTGGTATTTGTCCCACATTTTCTCTAGTCCAAAATCAGAGCAGTCACGTACCAGTGAAAAACATATGTGGATAATTTAACTGAATAAAGAACCCTTTTGTACCAGTAACCTAAATATTTTCAGACATAGCTCAAATTTTACAAAAATTATTTGTTTTGCAAACATAAAATTACATTTAACTGCGGATAGGGATTACAACATAGAGTAAAAAGTAAACAATGGATATTGTCACTGGAGGTACCCTGTTCTACTATACATGCATTACATATATAAGACAGGGTCTTGTATGATTTAAGTAAAAATTTCATTTGGAGCAGTGAGTTCAATTTTCAAAATATGTATCTTAATTTCGTTCTTTTAGTCTCTAAAACAGGATGAATGATACTATGATCTGATCACATTTTGAACAGTAAAGCACTCAGTACTTTTGTACTGACCTAACCAAATACTTTTGTACTCATACTTGAGTAACTTGAATGACGTTTTACATTAGTTCGAGTCAAAATATGTTGAACTATTACTGCTTTTACTTGAGTAGAATGTTATGGTAGTCTGCTAAGGTTACCATGTTACCATGTTATTACAATGCTTAACTGTTCACCAAACACACCTGAACAAAAGCCCACAAGCAATCCTCTTGTGGGTATTATTAACTGACTGTAAATCCATAATCATTTAAATTATAAAAAAAAAAAAATACCCTTAAAATATATGTGTTAAATGACTGTAAATTTTCTTATCTCTGTTATTATTAGACATACTTTAATTTACTATAGCAATTGACTGAGATTAAAAAGAGATTTTTTTTACTTAACAGTTTTGGCTTAGAATTTGAGTTGCACTAACTGTTCTCAATCAGCAGATGGCACCATTAGTTGCATCCAGTGACCATTACAGAATAAGTATATTCTCGCTAGAGAAAAATCTAAAATAGCTCTCAGATTTATGTGTGTTTAGATTCAGCATTGAGATTGTCATCTTGTTTTCTTCAACCCACAAAATCAGGCAAACCTTTGTAAAAGTTGCTGCTTGGTGTCACAACACATGTACATGAAAAACACTCAAAGTCAGTCTGCCTCTGTTTGTTGTTGTTTTTCTCTTATGGAATTGTCTCTAAGATAAATGTGCAAAAATAATCGGAGAAGGAGATGAAGTGTGACTCAGTGAAGGTCGGATGTGAACCGGCTGGTCGTTATGGTTCATGCATGGTCGATTCCAAGGCAGTGATGGAGCATCAGAAAAATACCAGCGAGGGGAAAATAACACAGCCTGAATACCAAGCTCAGCACATGGAAAACTGGAATGCTGTAATGTGTGAGGCAGCTGAATTTCCATCTAATTTATACAAATGCCAGAGTATAAAGTAGGTTTTTAACCTGAACTGGCTTCAGTTCTAAATGGAAATATAATATTTTACAAATGTATTTTTAAACACAATTTTAATCTATGAATCTTGTTTCACAAGAATACAGGAACTGCAAGGGTTATTCTTTTTATCCTCTATTATCTTCTCTTTCTCTCTATTTTTTGCTTGCCTGGATAGCAGCTCTTTTTAATGTCCGCACACCTATAGTGCAGCTACGGTACACTGAGAGTAATGGAATTTTCCTTGCAAAAGGGTTTTTACACTCCAAATGGAATGCAAAGGTCACTAGTAAATATCCAACCCTTGGGACCATTAAGCTGGGCAAAGGCAGAGAACGGCAGGCTTTTTTATGGAGCCTGAAACAGTTTGCTGACAAACTCAGCTCAGTAGATTTTATTATTAAAGAAACCACTGTGGTCACTCAAATGGATCCCAGTCATAGCGTCAGTAGAATCTATGGAACTACAGAATGAAGTGCAGGTCGAACTCTAAATGAATCCATCCATCCATCTTCTCCCGCTTTCTTCATTGGGGCAGCGGTGGGGCTGGTGCCTATCTCCAGCAGTCTAAGGGAGAAAGGAGGGGTACACCTTGGACAGGTCGCCACTATGTTACAGAGCAAATAATCATACACACATTTACACCTAAGGACAATTAAGATAAGCCAATTAATCTAATAGCCATGTTTATGGACTGTGGGGTTGGCGGATTGGAGTACCTGGAGAGAACCCAGGCATGCACAGGGAGAACATGCAAACATGCAAAAAGAATTGAAATCAGAACCTTCTTGCTGCAAGATAACAGTGCTACCCAGTGTGCCACCATGCAGCACTTTCTTAATAAATGTTAATAATAATAAAAACAAGGTATTACTGCCCTAAAAAGGTCTTTTAGGGCAATTCAAATGCAAACTGTATTGAAGGTCCAGGCTATAGAGGACTTAGTGATGCCTTTTTTGACTTAGGCAATTCCTGATATTGTTAATTCCTACATATAAAGTAGACAAATGTTCAATTTTTGCATGTGTATCCTGGAGCGAACCCTTTTTGTGTTAATGGCGATTATACCTTGCTGTAATTTCTTTTATTTATTTGCAACAGGCTCTTTGCACTTCAGATATACTCTTCTGACTAGTAACTTCTAGGTGCAAATGAGTTCCACAGGGTATTGCCTGCAGCAGAGGTGGGGTCATCTTGCAAAGAACATTACAATAAACGAGTGCCGGGGGAGCTACTGTGCAGCTGTGGTGAGAGGAAAACAGAGTGACGCAGTGGGTCCAATCATAGTAAAAGTTTGCTCAAGGATACTACTAAAACAACAAACAGATAAATGTGGTCTCACACTGATAATACAAACTCATGTCAGAGTGCAAAAAAAAGAAAAATGTAAAAAAGAAAAAAGATGAATGGTTTCCAGTTGGTTGCAATTAAGCAAAGAATTGAGAAAATGAAAGTAGTGCGAAAATTGTATTTTGTTGAGAACATGTAAGCACAGCTGCAAACCAGCTGGGTCTCCTCTTCCTTGTTACATGCAGATAAAAATGTCTGCAGTGACAACCGGCTCATCACCCCTTGGTGCTGAGCACTGATCTGTGTGAAGGTGATTGCAAAGTGATGCTCTAATTTGTGTGGCGATCACACTTAACGTGCAGTAAAGCACCACAGACAAAGCCTCTACTTTCTAAATGTCCCCCTCTTGCGCGGCACACAGCTCTCAACACCCACCTTCTGCTGGCTGTGGTTCCACCTCCACCTCCCACCTCTCCTCTCCTCCTCCACACTCCTGCCTTCATCTCCTCTCCCCACCAGGGGGTAAGAGTTATAGCCACCATAAAAGGCAGGTAATGCATTGTTAACTAATTCTGTCTGCTCAGAGCTGATATATCCTCTGCTCTAAATCTCTGTGCTTCCAATAAAATGCAAATGCTAATGCTTGCCCTCCATGCGCTGATATCATTTTTAACAGGCCAGAGGTAAATGCTAGAGAGGGGTTGGGTGGGCAGAGATAGTCTGTGACACTGTAAGGCTTAAAGATTTCATGGCACTATTGTGTCATAAAGGAGATCCCGAGTCCTGCACCACACAGCACTAACTGGTCAGTGTGGTGCAGGATTGCAGTAGTCTGAATATGGCTGCCCATATGCATGTGGAACTATGACAGCAGAGTGATACCTGCTAAGAACTACAGCCATTGAAGAATATGCACAAACAGGTTTCCTGATAGAATACATCCAGCATCAAATCACATAAGCCAATTTGCCTGCAGATGTAATGCATCATATTTCCATGTTAATAGTAGTGTCACACTCTGTGTAACCTTGGGCTTCTAAATATTGATCCACTTCGAGATTTTCAATTATCCTGTGCCGTTTTTCTGCCATCTGGTAAGGACCAGTGATTTGTGTTCCTTCATATCTGGGGGCTTGTCTTGTAATTAGACCATAAATTAATTTGCACAGAGGAGGGAGAGCAAAAGAAAGAAAAAGAAAAAGATTGAAGGCATTTAGTGAGTCTATGGAGACCGGAGACAGAAAATCATAGGAAACTACAGTGTTTTATTTACTAGAATAAGATAATTGGATTACAAATTCCACCACCATAAGTTTTTTTCCCAAGACATGTCACTTGCTTTTCTTTTAGCAATTTAAAACCATGCAGCTAATGATTTTTTTTCTGAGCTTCACTTCATCAATGCATGACCAGAAATTATCCATTGACATAATTATACCCAATTGCTTGCAGTGCAACAGCAAAATGATTAGGAAAAATTGGGTACATTACTGCCAAAATGTGTGTGAAACTTTGCAGTTAAATCAGTCAGTGGTTTTAAATGCCGCTCTCTGAAATCCCACCCCCACCGAGGACAGATGACTGTGAGCTTCGAACCAAGCCACTTATTTACAGCACAACTCAACTGGAGGTATTAAAAAAAAACAACAATGCTTCTTTATTGATTTTAAATTGGTAGTATAAGCTTTTCTGCAAGATTAGCTCTTTGTCCCCTGCTGCTAAATTACACTTAGCAATTGGGGCTGT